CAGATGGGACCCTTAGAGAATTACCCAACGCCTGCCGTGCACAAAAGCTGATCAAGGAGAGATTTACTATGGGTAACTATATGAGCTTCCTTCCATTATATTCACTATTATCACTTATAAAACAAACAAGTAAAACGGCAAAGGGAAATTTGTACTAAAGGTTAATTTGATCTGGGCGTATATTCTGATCAGTGTGGTGGAAAATTGCAATATGGCTGCACAGGAACCGAGCCACTGCCAAAAAAAACTCCAGAATATGCTACTGTATGGGTATTTCCATCTCCATCAAATTGGTTACTACACCGTGCAGAACCAACATATCACTCTGAACATATGGTATAACTGGTATACATTACTGAAGAAAATCAATGAAGATACTGCCGTTATTAATAAATGTATGGCTCTAGGAATTTATGGGTAAGCTGTTCCACCACCAAATGAATATGCAGATATTGTTGCTGATTTAAGTTTTTAGTGAGGTCTTGCTATCTGGCACCAGAAACCTTTTTAAGCAATAAAACAATATTTTACAGTAGAATTTTGGCACTATAGTTATGATAATCCCATTCCCTTAAAGTTGAGGTTGTACACCAGCTGAAACACTAGGGTTGAATAGCTCTTTGTTAGAATAGATGATTGCTTCCCTTTAAACATACTTGCCAACAGTCCAGAATTCTTCAGGGCCATCCTAAATTTTGTACCCTGTCGAGAGATCCAAGATTCTTTTTTGTTTCTTCTGGTTTCCTTCTAATTTATACACCAGAAGAAAGTGAACCTCAAAGTGAAACACACATTCACTAGGAATGAATTCCAAGCCATTAGACATTAGGGCAGTAGAACACATCCTGCTTGCCCGCCAAGATGGCAAGCTTGCAATTCTGGGATCCATGTATGTTGGGGTGATACACTCCATTACAGTTATACATGTCATAACTAATACAGATTTTGGCTTATTTCCTTATTCACTGTAAGTATGGGGAGATGAATTCATGGCAGGCAGCGTAGTGCATGGCACCAGAACCAGACTTTATAAACACACATAAGGGTCTAAAGTGGTGCTGGGCCATGTTATGATGAGTGACATAAATAATATTTAAAATCTGCTAAAATATCAGTACAATTTACTATCCCAATTTCTGATGGCGCTATTTGCAATACGTGTGTACAAAATAACTATATCTGCCTGTTCTCCTGGCATGAATGCATGCTGGGGTAATAAGCACTTATTGTACCCAGGTGGATAATCAGTGACAAGCTGAGTGATTGACAGGTTCCTTGACCAATTCTATTAACAAAGTTAGCATGTAGGAGCTATCTACCTATTGACAACATTCGTGATAATTGTAGGCTTTGAGAAAGATAGAAACATGGAAACATAGAATGTGACGGCAGATAAGAACCATTTGGCCCAACTAGTCTGCCCAAAAGGCTGGACTAAGCTATCTCCATTGCCTGCTGCCATCCATAGCTTTGGAAGGATAGTGTGGAACGGACATCATAATATGCTGTAGTGGTTATGGTACATAATATTAGCGTTAAAGAAAAAAAAAAAAGCAAGGTTTACATTTATAAAACCACACAAAGATCAAATACTTCTTTCAAAAGTGTGTCAAATTCAATTCTACAAATCAAAATCTGTACATTAAAAGGTTACTAAAAGCAGAGAACTTAGCAATAGTGTATAATGTTAAACAGGAGTAAAAAAAAAAGGTGAGATTTCAAATTAGATTTGCGCAGCGCTAATACGAAAATGTGCTTTGAATTGTGTCTGGAAGCTATCAGCAACAATGTGCTACAAAACCAGTAGTATTTAGAGTCCTGGACAATATCCTTTATTGACTAGCACTGTCTAACAGATTTGATATGCACCAGATTTGTCGTCTTAATAAGGGTATGCTGTTGCAAAGATGCTTTTCCGCATATTTTGCCATATAAATTGCTATTTTATGCAAATTGTAAATGGTTCAGAGCTGGTTTAATATTTACAGTGTGAATCTGACTACATATGCGGTTCAACTGAATCATCTTTTGTAATAAAATTTATGATGGCAAAGCTTCTGTGTTGATGTGCTAGATTTAACTGTAATCATAAAGTCCACTGAAAACTTATTTGCTCTTAGCAAGATTTAAACAACCCATTATAACACCTGATGTGAAAAGTTTGTTTTCAATAAAATAAATATACAGAGTTTTAAATTTTTCTCCTTGGGCATGTTTTGTTTATTTATTTTACAGATTACAAAAACTTATTCAAGCCAATATAAAATCCTGAATTTTATAGCGTTCGCTAACATTTTAAAAATTACTGCAAACTCTTTCACTGTGCATGTCAAGAGAGCTGGTGTTCAGCGGATAAAAAGTATTCTATGAATTTGATTACAGATAAAAACAATACAGATGAAATTTAACACCTGTGTAAGATCCACAAGGTATTAATTATTTGAACATTCCTTTTAACACAGTGCATTATTCACCTTTGTATGGAATTTTCTTCTGATTGGTCTATGTCTACAATTTTATTTGATTGTTCAAGTTCATTCGTTACCAGTGTCTGTGCGTAGGTATAATACAAATATGGGAGCGCAACACCCATTGATCTTAAGCAGCCAGATACACACGATACACATGAAGACTAATGGACTGCAGAACGTAGTACCAGTAGAGTATTTGAAAACATAAATATGTATATATATAGATAAAATACACATGTAGTTTTCCTGTGTCTCGTACTATGCCACCGTCCCCCCTCCCGTTTCGGCACTAAAATAGTTTTTAAAAAAACATAAAGTTTACTTACCTAACTTACTTATCCTCGGCACTGCTCACCTCTGCTCCCCAAGCGCCATCAATCACAAAGTAGGTTTGGCCTCTTCTGGTAGGGTCCAATCCAATGCTCCTCATAAGAGCCATGCATTCAAACATCTATGCTTTCCTATAGGGCTTCCGCATTACGTGATCAAGTTGCATTCGGTCTGTGCTGAGGAAGTGCCTCTAGTGACTGTCAATATTGCAGTTTCTCAGAAACTGTAACATTTTACATTACAGGGTTAATGGGACAGGGACACTGCACTGCATCTCTTCATTGAGATGCACACTGTTTCCCTAAAAATAATACATCCCTCGAAAATAAGATCCCATACGATAGTTTGATAATCTAAGAACATAGATTTGTGGGATTCCATTAGCAAGTAAGTTAATCTATGTCCGGGGAAGTTTCCCCAAACATAGATTTGCAGAATTACATGCGCTAGTGAACTGGTCTATGTTCAGGGTAATTCCCCCGAACTTAGACCTGCTTTCTAGCACATGCGTGCTGAAGTTTTTCCGCAAAATAAAAACCTCCCCCGAAAATAGGCCTTATTGCGTTTAAAAAAAAAAAAAAATTAATATAAGACCCGGTCTTATTTTCGGGGAAACCCGGTAGTGGTCTGGGTGACTATAGTGTCCCTTTAAGTAGAAGCTTTGATTAATGGGAAGAGAGGTTCTAATTCTAGAAATTAATTGATTTTATCTATCCATTCATTATAGAGACAATAATAATATCTAAAGATAACAACCAAGAGTCATGAAAGTTGCAGCTCCACAACTGAATGTTGGCCACCACTCATCAACAGTATATAAATTAATCTCAATCAATCCATACAAAGCTAAACCATTCATACTGGGATATTCTTTAACCCATGGGTGCCCAAAAGGTAGATTTCCAGATGATTTAAAACTATATAGCTTCCTTGATGCTCTGTCATTCTAAAGGCATGCAAAGCATCATGGAATTTGTTGTTCTATAACACCTAAGGGGTGTAACTTTTGGGCACTCGTGCTTTAACCCCTTTCGGATGGAGGCAGTTGTACAAGTTCTGAACTAAAACAAAACTTGGAATTTGACTATATGTCTGTTCAACCATAATTTACCTCTTTCTTATTAAGTGCAACCACACTTATTATATATCATTTTGTTCAGGAGAAACAGGCCTTTCATTTCACATCAAATATTTATATATGAAACATAATTTAATATGAGTAGAATCTAAAAAAAATGAAATTAAGAAATTTTATTTTCTAAGTTATGTGTGTTATTTTAACTGTGAATGGCATAATACTGTTTGCTTTTACTGCAATAAAATACACATATTTGTGTTTAGCGATGCCTCACAAGTACAACAGTACCCCTCATGTAAAGGTTTTATGGGATTTTGGAAAGTTACAGGGTCAGTTTTAGGGCTTGCCCATTTCCGTTTTTACTCATTGAAATTTGCCAGACTGGTTTGCTAGACCTATGTTGCATCTGAGACCGTATGACAGTCCAGGAATGAGAATTACCCCCATCATGGCATACCATTTGCAAAAGTAGATAACCCAGGGTATTCAAAATGGGATAGGTCCAGCCTTTTTTAGTAGCCACATAGTCACAAACCCTGTCCAAAGTTAGTGTTCATATTTGTTTTTTTAGATTTTCACACAAAAACGTCCCTTTCACCGATGATATTATCGTCATTATATGTTTTACTGCTCTAAAACACCCTAACAGTGTTAAAGTAATAATTTTGTAGGATGGCATAGCATGCCCAAATTTGGGGAAAGGATTCAAAAGTTCAAGAATGCATATCAGGAATATGCGGGAAGGAATGTAATTAAAATATAAATTGACATAGTCTGATCACTTTCCTTCCTGCATATTCATAATATGCAGTCATTAGCTTTTTAACCCTTTCCCAACATTAGGACATGCTATGTTGTTCTATAATGGAGGGCTTTAATGCCATTAGAGTGTCACTCATTGTCAAGTAAGCCTAAAAAAAATTATAATACTAATTAAAAAAAAAAAAACTGTTACTGTCTACATGCTACCCCTGCCCACCTGACAAAAGGAACTGTTTCTTCAACTGGTGTGACCTTGATGAAACTCACCACTGATTTATCAAAGTGTTATGTTCTAAATAGTGTTGCAAGTTATGCAGAATAAATAATGGTTCAAGCACTCCGGGATTGAAGAAATAGCAGCTTTATTGGGGCAAAAGCATCAATGTTTCAAACCTGTCAGGTCTTTATCAAGCTTGATCAAGACCTAGCAGGGTCAAAACGTTGATGCTTTTGCCCCAATAAAGCTGCTATTTCTTTAATCCCGGAGTGCTTGACCCATTATTTATTCTGCATATTTTAGAAAGGAGGCCCTGGTTTCAAAGCACATGTGTTATTTGGTGAGTGTGGTATCCACTACTAAATAGTGTTGCAATTATGTTAAATGAGAGGTGTCACCACTGGACATGCCCGCTAGTTTTTTATTGGTTTCCATTGTGATTGCCCCATGTTTAGTATTTAAGACCACTATTCATTACAGTACTCTTCCGTAAATCTCCCCTATGATCAACAAAAATGGCTAAAGCACTGGCTATACTGTAATATGTATGGAAGGCACACTGACACCATCATATAGATTTTTGTTCATAGGATATAGCTGATTTTGTACATTCTTTAGTTTATGTAGGCAATGACAAAAAGTGGCTCAAAAAGCTAGAAAGAATTATCACAGACCATAGATATTGTAACATCCTTCTTTATCCTTCCGATAAAATGATTTTCTTTATAATGACAATGTACATTCAGACTGTGGATACAATGGGAGTTATTTATAGAGAACAATTCTGGGGTCAAGTTCCAAAAGTAGAGGAGAAACAGCTGGAAGAGTCCACTGACTTCCATTAGAACACTGCCCCACATTTCCCTTTATAAGTTTTGCTTCATAGTATGAAAGTAGATGCAAAGTGTTTAAAAAGTTTAAAAAAATAAAATAAAAACAGTATCAGCGTTTTTAAACTCTTGTTATTATTCTCTTTGCTGTTAAAAGTTTTGAGAACAAGAAACGGACACGCAAAAAAATTTAAATCAAGATTAATAATGGAGACTGGACATAAGAGGTAATGACTTTTAATTGGATTGGTTTTTATAATGTTTCTAGAGATTGAGGAAAAGCAGAAGAAAGGATTAGAAGAATCATTTCCACAAGGCATTATTTGGCATAATGAGAACACAGGGGGAGGTCCAATTCTCCAATAGTTATTGTAAACCACAGGAGATGCTTAACATGTCAGCATCTAGCTGTGTACAGTAGAGACACAAATGCATTTGCTCCGTTATAAAGTTGGAAAGCGTAATTACTTAAAAGAGAAGAGAAACTGCAAGGTCAAGGAGTTTTTTTTCCTCAACAAGGGCACAGTGAATATTACAGGCAGTTAACCCATTTTGCTTCCTGAAAAGTGTGCAGGAGTGCCTACTCCCTCATCCTCTACAAAAACCAGTGCAATGATAAATCCCCAGGTTTTCAATAACTACAACTACCATGATGCTTTGCCAACCATCAACTGGGGAACAAGGCTATTAAGGGCTAAGGCCTACATTTCAACATTCCATGCAAGCATCAAGTAACTGGATATCCACCGGTCAATGGAACCCAGAAATAATACACTATTATGACATGAAGCCTCAATATTCTACCAGGATCAACATCATCAACTGAAGCATTATGACTAAAACTCTAGATAGTTGCATAATTATGGAGTTTAGTATTTGTTTAATCTTGTGCGACCTTTGTTGTTTATCCCTGCCTTTCATTTTAGTAAGATTAACTTACTTTTTGTTCTTCTTTGTGCAACATAAGCATTTTCTGAAATAATTGAAAACTAGTGATTTTTTACTCACAATAACAACTTTGCATTAGAAAAACTTTCCCCCAATACACTGCATATATAAATATGTCATATTTAACCCTCTTAATACCTGAGTCAGAGGAACACATATGTATTCTTGTCCCCCCACCACAAAGCATACAAAAAGTTATTGTTAATTGTAAAACTCAGACTTGTAAAATTCACTAGCAGAAACATTTAAAAATAGTATTTACACAGAGAATGTTCTTCGGAAGATAATCAATAACCATTTTATTTATATGGAGCTGCTCCATTTCTGGATTTGTGACTTGATAAAATACTGTCAGAGAAGTCCTACTTTTTAATTAAGGTTTAAAACTATTTAATGCAGTTTACATTAACCGTAAAATCAAAATACCTCCTAATTACACTAGATGCCCAGTTTTCAAAAACTGTACAGAGAGTTATTCCCCCTAATTGTCAGTGGATATCAGTAAAGGCACTCTTTGTGCACTTGTCACACAATGCTACCACAAAAGCCCCTCTGGCAATGACTGATTTGCAGATTTTTTTTTTTCCTCTTTCCAAGAGTATTATTTTAACCGGGATGTTTTTCTTTTCAGTATTCACAAAAGGGACACTACCCCTTTAAGCCTTTTCAGTGGAAAAAAAGGAGAACAGTACATGGACAAATGTACCAGACCAGATTAGGAAAACCCATGCTGGGCTACTAATTTGACTTGGCGTAGCTATTTCACAAAAGAGAGTTTTATTTAACTGATGAACCTATCATGTCTTAAGACATTATTAACAAAGGTTTGCCTCTGACAGCATGATATCAGAGCTGCTTCATCAGAACATTTTCATGCATCCAAGCTGAAGAACTGGATTTGGGCTGGAAAATCCAAGACGCTGCTTACAGAAATTATTTTCTCTTTTGTTGCTATACTGAATTATTGTGATATTTTTAATCAAGTTTAAATAATATAATATAAAAGGGTTAGATTCCAATCCCAAATTAAAAAAGGGGGGTGGGGGGGGAGGGGGGGAGGTTGCGCAAACAGTCAGATGCAGATAACAGGGTTACTAACAAGTTAGTGCATGGGAAACATGAAGTCATTATAAGATGCACAAGTATACACTGTACAACATTAATCAATGCTCCGTTCTGATGAGTTTATAATCTACTCTATTTTCTAAAATAAGTGGAATGCGGCCTGCAAACACTCTCCTCCTGAGTAACGTGCAAATCTATGTTATTTCTTTCAATCCAACTTTTTGTACTGAAATATGTTAACTGGGCAAAACGGAAATAACCTAGCTAAGACTCCAGCTTAAAGATAAGTGTAATTTGTGCTCTCTTAGTGTGTTTTAACAATCAATTTTGGAATCTCTCTCTCTTTTCCTTGTGCCACAACACCCAATGTACCCCATTTTAGGCAGGTCTTATGCTAGCCGGCCCTTTTGAAATTAACCCATTTACCTGGGAGAAATACATAATAGCAGGTATTAGATTGCTAGTTTAGGACCACCTGTTGTGGCAGGCTTGTTTAATGTACGATCATTTGCTGTACCTGTATCCTGTTATTTTTGTTTGTTTGTAACATAACATTTTGTGAGCTTTAAAGGTGGTGTTTAGTTAGTGAGAGCACATTGTGTATATTTATTAGTATTTTTTTTTATACTTTTGTCATTGTAAACTTGAGCTCTGGGGTGGCGGGGGTCTACAAATCTATGCTATGCCATCATTTCAGTATTCTTCTATTTAATTACCAAACACATTCCTGTCTGTACAATTTGTATCAATGTGTGACACCAGTTTCCTGCCTCTCTGAATTGTAATCCAGATTACCAGCAATCAACATGTGGAACCGTGAATAGCTGTCAAAAGCAGATCGTCCACAATAATGCCTCTACATTCCAAAAACTGTCTGCATTTAAGCTTAATTGGAAGGAGCACTGTCCTTGGAAAACACATTTACAAGAGCATCTGGAACAGGACAAATGGAATGCCTAATAAAACAGGTCAGAAGGACCCTCTATAAACATCAAATTGTGCATCACTTGCTAGTATATTTCCAATATTAATGGACAGGTACTGAATGTACTTTCAAAGTCAGTTTCAGATACCTGCCAGTTGATGTAACAGCCATTTGGCTGAGACTTTAAATCCTAAGAGGTTTGTGATTGGAACTAATGATTCACTAGAAAAGACATTTACCAAGTGCTATGTTACAGTATGTTGAATCAGCTAAAACAAAGAAGAGAATGCCAGACAGGGTGAATTAAAGTCTATTGTGGTCTAGTTCTAGATGTGTTATTTGGTCGCTATGAAATGCTTAAGAGAACATTCACATGTCCAAAACATTTTTTATTTTTTATTTTCGTTCGCACAATGCAGAAACAATATGAACACTGCAGCTAGGAATCATGGCTAGTTTTTCAAATATTTTCATTATTTCACTGGCAATATCTGCTTTAAAAAGATCAGTAATGCCTTAAAATTCACATATGCTTTTAAAGTTATATAACTTGTCCTCTTAATCACATACTATCCACAAGAGGATCTCTGTTTAAAGGGACATTATAGTCACCAGAAAAAAAGCTTAATGTAGTTGTTCAGGTGTCTACAGCCTGTCCTGGCTTTTCAATGTTACCACTTTCTTTTATGAGAAAAGATTGTGTTTACATTAGCGCCAAGGTACACCAGTAGTGCCAGTCACTCAAATGGCCACCAGAGGTGCTTCCTGAGTCAGTGCAGCACAATGCTCATACACTGCAACCCTGTGATGTCAGAAGGGGTCTCTGCCTATGGAGAACATAATAGTGAAGCCACACCCAGCCATATCCACCAAACATCCATTTGCTCTGCTCATTGCTCATGTGCAGTGTACTTTCCACCATGAGAAATGTGGGGAACTAGTTTACACAGCTAGCATGATAGACTTCGGTCCATCAAGAAGCCTAAAAATATGTATTATTGTTATTTTAGCTATAAGTCTAAACAGAAAATAAATTCTGAACCTCATACAAAGAACTGACAAATACACTGCATTTGTATCGACAGGCCAATCTAATTCTACAAAAAAGAGGAAAATCCTATCTGGAAAAAATAACTTGGGACAGGCTACATCACATGATTAAAAGTATACCTGCATTACGTCTTCCACATTCTAATCAGAATATGTTGTCAATATCAGTATACCAAAAATGTATCTAGCCCCAGTCTTGCAAGCAACACAGAGCTCCATCAGCTGTTCCACTGCCTTATGCAACAGACTGATTTAAAATGTATACAGCCCCAGACTTGCAAGCAACATGGTGCTTCACCTGTCTACCGTTTGGTCTCTCTTCGGTGCCTTGGTGCTTCACCAAGCTACTACGTCCTGCAATGGCCTGGCTCCTCATCGTTTATCTGTACGATGATATTATGATCATGGCTCAGGACAGATCCGCTCTGCT